ACGCTGCTTTTTTCGAAGTTTCTCAAGAACCATTTGAGCCACCGAATTCGTTTTGGCATCGTTGGATAGAGAATTGAATGGGGATCCCCCTCCTGGATCCGCCCTTGAGTGACACTTTCATAACCTTCGGGCACAGCCCTAGAAGGGAACATTACGAGATGCAAGTTATGAAGGGGCCCAAGGTAAAAGTGTTAAATTGTATCAAATAAATACCGGTCGCCTCCCAAATAATTATAAATTTAGATTTTTTGGCCAAATTCCAAAACACTCGGATTCCTGCTCGGTTCTGTAGGTGCGCATTTATATACCGGCTTGATGTCGATTTGTTCTGCTGCAGCCCTAAAACAACAAATCCGCCTGATATTGCCCGTGCTATCGGCGCATAAAAATAACCCAGAAGAGTCTCACTGTCGAAGAAGCCCTGCTAAAGACGGTTTTTTCCAAAACCTCCAGCCATTTGCGGCAATTGAAATGTCTCATTTACGAACGGGTAACTCTTTTAACTGGAAGATTAAGATTTCGGGATTCTCACGCTCTGGTGCCCTGCCCTGATGCAAAGGGCTGCACCTGCACAGTGCACTTGCGTTCCCTCAAAGTCCGGCCGTTTCTCAAAGGGCGAAGCCCTTCCAGGCCCAGTCATCGTCTGGGACGATCAAAAGCAGGCAAATAACCCTTGATTTCACTCACCTTTAAGCTGGAATTGTTCGAAACTTGACAGTTAAGGGCACAACACTATCGGAAAACGCTCGACTACACTTCGACTCGGACAAAACCAGACTGGCCGAATATTTTCAAGAAATTTGATCACCACAGCGAGCTATGAATAGATTGCGCATGCGATGCTCAGTGTAAGACGAAAGCGCGAGGTTTTGCGGCGAATTTAACTGTGATTTAGGACGATTTTTCCCCGAAATCCTTCGGGAGCCCACTGGGACTTGTTGAAAATGTCCCGAATCGAGATGAAAGGGTGCACTTTCAATTTATGTCACTGTTGACGTTTGCACGTCAATACAACAACCCTAAAAAACCGACTGGGGCGCGATTATTGGGGCTCTATCGTCACACCGGTAAACTCTAACCGACCATCTTGTCGGAACGAAAAAATAAAATAGAATATTAACCATTTGATTTATCGACTAAGGTTTTCGACCGCAAATGTTTTTTAAGAATCAATATTTTCATCAGACAGCGGAAATATGCATATTTACGTAAAGTATATACTTTCCTGGCTGTGTTTCAATTCCAAATCAAAATCAATTCCTGGGTTTCAGTCATTTATTGTCTCTATCAATTAAAATACGTTTCGGTGTTTTCCACCATCATCAGTTTCTATGTGTAGCGCCAGGAATTGATTTTGATTTGGTATTTACGTAATATTAATGGGACAGAGCCTTGAGAAACATTGTTCCATACTTTCTGATTATCTCAGTTTTCGATCAGTATTATTAACTTATTACTATTTTTTCTTTCTTTACTTCCTAAACAGCCTCAGAGAAAGGACCTCAAGTTTCGAATCACTCTGTATATACTGATGCAAGCAAAAAATCAAAACTTTTGACTGATGCGAAAAGTGGCAGTTGTGAAACTGTTTTCGGTTAAATCACAAACCGATCATAAATAAAAATAATATAATGGAATAAAACGGGGGAATTATTAGCGTAAGACCGACAGGACCCTATTCGCAACAGTAAACAGCGTCAACCGCCGTTGCCGGTTCGGGCATAATAATTTCACCTTTTCCAGCAAAAGGGCGAAAACTGCCCATAACTCTTCACAATTACTTCATCCCATACACTTGTCCGCTATAATTTGAAACAAAGAAAACCTTGTGAAGTTGAACTAATCCAAACTGCTTCAATACAAACCGAAGACAAACTACTGGCAACAACGCTGTGCTGCTGACACTGACGTTAGACGGGCTGGGACTGACATTGATTTGTCAAGTGCAAGTTTTTTCGTTGGGAAATGTCGGAAAATTTGCAAAAGCGGCCTGCCAAAGGCATATTGAAAAATTCAAGTAGTTTTGATAAACAGGAAAGTCAGCCGTCTGCCAAGTAAGTAGCGAACATCATGGTCTAATTGTGGCGGCCGCCTTCAAACCAAAACACGGGGTTTGTTTTGGCCGGACTGTTCGGGAGACTTTTATAAATTGTGACTCACTTTGGTGTTGAATTCATCAGTTTCACTTGTTATTCTATGACTAAATAGGTGAATTAATCAGGCCAAGTGAGGCAAGCGCTTTTTTTAGATGGATAATCGCGTTGTCATTTCCATATGTGAATGGGGCCCCGCTCAATTTTAAGCGTTTCACTTACAATAGCGAGTAGCAGCTGAGGGTTTTGAGCATTCTCTTTGTTTCCGCTTAGAAGGACGAAAGAGACAAAATGGGATGAAATGAACATAATAGCAACGTACCATCCTCCAGGCAAAGAATACGGACATATGAAAATTGACGAACCGAAAACTCCTTACAGCTACGATGTGGACATGGTTGACAATGCGAGCTTAAACCCTGAGGAACTAGCACGGAGGTAAATAGCTTGCAGGCAAACTGCTGCCTTTGTAGTAGCTTTTTATGGCTTTTCTTGTAGTTCACTTGTTTATACCACGCTTCACTCCTTGATCTCTAGCTGTAATGTGCCCACTGTTTTTAGTTTGTTCCCCCCATTTTTTTACTTAAACATTTTTCAAGAATAAAAATTGCGGCAGAAAAGCCTCCAAAATTTTGTGACACCGAGGCAGACAGCTCCGATGAGGAGGAGGAAGAAACAGAAGAGGAGCAACAAAAGCGCAAAGAATTCGAACTGAAAAGGTAATAATGGAAGTTTCCTGCATTTTACTTGTTGTCGATAGTGCAATTTGTTTCTTTTTCCATTTGCATGTGTGTCTTTATTTTCATTATCATTGTTCGAGTGCATCAATAAAAGCGTTGGTTCGGGGTATAGGAAAAAACACTACAACGAGTTCCATGCGCTGCAATTGGCGAAAAAACTTCTAGAAGAGGAGGAAGACGATGAGGTTGAAGAGGGCGATTCGACCAATTGTCAGCAGGCCTCATCGGGATCGACCCACTAATAGAATTTAACAGATTAATATATTGGCAGTTTCAAGTGTTTTTGATCTATTTATTTCGTTGCTACTAAATGACTTGGAAAATGCTTAATTGCCATTTTATTTTACAAAGGGGAAGGTTGGATTACTTGACTGTGTAACTGGCAAAAGCGTTTGATGAAGATGTTGGTGTCTAGTGGTACCCAGTGTGGTGTATATTTTCTTCTCAAATAATGTCTTAGATGTCAAACTTACTGTAAGATAAGAGAAATTAAATACTAGTAATAAATCGAATCTTTTCATTGTGAAGTTCAACTAGCAGTAAACAATTTATCTTAATGTAAGATGAAATAACGGCCGTACTGTCTATAGAATGCACTTTAAAGGTCAATTTTGGCGCCCCCTTAGGACTGCCATTTCCATCTGTAGACAGTACTGGCAATATTAGAGATTAGGCTTCTGAATACCGGTGAAGGTTGGAATAGTAGTGGTTCTATATATATATGGAAGATCAGAGATGTTCAGTTGCCAATCTAATCAATAGCTTCCAGTATATTAAGACTGATCCAAATTTACACCGATTGGTTTTTTGAACATTTCATTTACCTACTATCTCGCTTCTTAAATCCCCGATTTTATCTAAGATATAAATATATTTGGCTGTGCATAATTTAGCTAGCTTTTATTATAAATTTTCTTATTCCCTACCCGTACCAGGTATTTTGCATTAGAATTGTAGTTTTTTTAGCGGTGTATAAGAAAAAATGTAATTTAGTCTAGATGGATAAAGTTATGTAAAGCTGTTTTTTTTATAGGTTTGAAGATACGCTTTAAGGTAGATTACTTCCAGTACAATAACTTTATTATGTCGTCAATATTAAATATATATTTCGTGACTTTTTTTGATGCAGTAGAGGATGGGTGTGCGGCTCGGATGGAACCCAGTGTTAGTGAAATGTGGATATGTTGGTGAATGCGAGATTTTTGACAATTATTTGCCCGCTATGTTACTTATAAACTAAAAATTTTCTTGGGTGCATACAAACAGATCTAAAATCGGCGCCGCTAACGCAAATAAATATCAAAAACCTCTGTGAAAAATCAAACTTCCAGCCAATCCTGAGCATCGCGTAACATAGAGAAAGTAAAATAAAATGATTTTACTTTCTCTAGGTCGCGTAAATCGCACGCAGGTGTAAAGTTAGCCGCAAACATATTTTTAATGCAACGTTGCCACTGAATGAAACTATAGTATAGTATACTTGCAATGTTGCTGCTTCTTTTTTTGTTTGCTTGGCGGCTGGAAGAATAAAAATCTTCGTGAACACCACAAAATATCCCCCCTTAGGGGGTATGTTCTGTGGTGTTGGATTCCTTCCTCAATCCTGGAACATTTCCGCCATTTGTCTAAATCAGAAGAAGAAGTAGCTTAGGTCTGTGCAGTGCCAGAAGAGAGAAATGGAATTTTCACTACGGAAGGGAGCGAGAGAACAAGATAATCGACCTCAGTCCACAGCATCAAACGATTGGAGAGGGCAGACATGATGAAACAAGACATAACCCAGTGTTTATCAATGAACCTAACCTAACCTAACACTCGAATTAAATAGTTGGAAACACGTTGAAATTAGGGCTGCGTACCATAGAGTAAGTAAAATAATTCTACTATCTCTATGCTGCTTACTGCAGGAAGCGGTCACATTAATCCGACCTTTCTCGTGCAAGCACTCGCCCCTGTTCCTGTTACAAGAGCGTGGCGGATTGAGAACGAAGCAATCGCATTTTCGGTCGAGTAAACCATGGGGAAATTCATAGAAACAAAGCTTTCCGAGCGAAACGTGAAAATCGCGAAACGCCGGCCGGCAAATCTGGGCGGAAAAACCATCGGCAAAGCCCTGCCGCGACGTCGCAAAATAGACCAAAACACTGAAGGGCCAGCCACCGAAAAAGTGTCCAGCGCGGATTTCCAGGACTTGAGTTACGAAGTGGGCACCAATCCCGTTTCAGGGCGCAAATGCCTAAGACTAATCAACCCTGGCCGCGATCTGTTCGCAGCCGATGACTTAAAAGCTAGGTAAAAAGCACGCAACGTACTAAACAGCTAGTTTCTGGCTCATTCTCAACTGTGAGTCCGCCTCGACCAAACGGAGCTTATCTAGTTCAATTTTCAGTTATTGGCAGTTCACACGGCACAACCTGATCTGCATCCTGTTTGAGGAAATCGCCTTGGAGGGCCTGGACGGGATCACCCTACAAGCGCTTTGGAAACGAATAGAAAATGTGCTCAAATTCCAGCTCAACTATCAGGCTTTAAAGGAGGCCATTTGGCGAATAGTGTGCCTCGACAGCAAAGTGCAGTTCTACGAACTACCGGAGGAACGACAGAACCTGGATTTGCCTTGGACAGACCCCACAGACGACAGCAATTTCTTTACCGATCCACGCAACTGTGGAAACGACCCATACACGGTAGGGACTTTCTAATTTTTATCCATTAAACTCGGCCACTAGAGCCCATGGATTGCAGGTGGAAGTTCCTGCAAAGGAATACGGCGAATGGGGCTCATGTTCCACGTTAAAACACCGACGGAATGTGAGTGAGGCCGCGCGCCAGATGAGCCTAAGTGAAGCCTTCGGGACGTACAAAAACAAGCTGGTTTTAGTGGCCGATGAGGACCTGAGGAGGAGCATTCTCTATGAAGATATGTGCGATCCCAACTGTGAACTGATGCCAATAGAGTATTGCATATTGGAGCGGATTGGCAGGGCGAGGGAGCTGGGAGAAATGAGCGCCGGCACCACAGCACTGTCCACCTGTAAACCATTTGGCAAATAACCCTCCTAACTGGTCCGGTTAATGAGTTTCCTTATAGGTTTCGGCATGGACCAAAAAAGCATTCATCACTACATCAAAAAGCTCAACAAGCAGAACCTGGTCACAAGGCAAATTTGCTTGTTTTCCGTAGATTGCGAACATTCAAGAATGGGCAGGCTGATCCAGTTGCGGCGCTTCCATAGCAAGAAGAAATCCAAGCAGCAAATCATGATCGAACGGGCGGTGAATTATCTGAAGAAATGTGCCGACTTTAAGACACCGTATGCTGACATTAAGAGTCTGTTCGAACCGGGCGAGTTAGTGAAACAGTTCAAACAAACGGAAATTGACCACTACATCAACCTCAACTTGGTCAGTTAAATCGCGCAATAATCACACACCATCAACGTGTTGATGTTTCAGACGGTGCCATATAAGGAGTACTATGAGGGCTCAACGTATCAGGAGTACATGATGAAAAATTTATCCAAAGAGCGCATGGTGCAGTTGGCTAAATTGAGGGATCCCTATGTGAACGTTGAGGCCTCGTGGGTGGATCACCAAAAAGAAGAGTCATCTGATGATGCTGAAGATGACGAGGATGACGACGCTGACGAGGGCAAGGGTAGGAACAGCTACCAAAGTCAAACGAACAAAGTAACGAGAATTTTGCAGGAAAGTCCAAGAACCCAATGAAATCGCGACGGATTTTCAACAAAGACCTCATTAGGGACGTGTACCAGTACATAGTGTCGAAAGGCAAGCATGGCATTAGTACCTCCGAGTTAAATGAGGCGTTTGATAGCGATTTTTCCTCGATGAGGACCATTATTAAAAAATTGACCACCCGAAAGCTGATAGCTGGCCGAAAGATTGATGTTGGGCGGAATACGATGAACAGGTGAGTTTCACCAAGTGGTGACTTCCCGAACCATCTTTGTCCGCATAACCGTCTTGCTTTAGGTTTACCGCAACACGTCTAGTGGACGAGGGTCAGCAAGATTCAAGTCGCCCAATTTCCATTCAAACTGGATCAAGCACTGCGCTGGAAAAACTCAAACAGCGGCAACGTCAGAAGATACTGAACGAGCCTCAAACGGCGTATGCATTTTAGAAAATTTGTAGA